CTCAGATCCGGCTTTCCCTACGAACACAGAGACACGTTTACACACTCAGCCGAGAAGGGAACGGTGAGCAAAATTCAGTTTGACATTTCAGCTGAAATAAAACAAAGTTACGTTGTGTAAATGTCACGTCAATTAATAAGAACTGGTTTTAGAAAATAAATAAAAGAAAAGAAAGAAGCATACAGTTTCCCATTAGTGAACAAGGAAGAAAACGATGCATTTACATATTTCACAGCTGTTGAATATAAAATAAGGCAAATGTTTCCACAAATATACATATTTTTTGTCATTTTTGAACATCAGGATCCAAATGTGTGATTAATAAATAAATAAAAATTAATTAAAACTATAAAAATAAACATAAATAAAATATATGACAATAATAGAAATAAAATTCATGAAAATAAAATCCTAAAGAATCATAACGTAATCATAATCATAAATAATAATAAATACAGTTCATTAAAATAATGAATGAATAAATTAATTAATTAATAAAATATTATCAAGTTATCAATCATACGTTCTGTTGCTGATTATTTTAGTACATTTTTAGGAAATAATATGTACAATAGTACTGAGACAGCTCTCATTAGAGTTACAAATGACCTGCTCTTATCATCTGATTGTGGTTGTATCTCTCTATTAGTGCTATTGGATCTTAGCGCTGCGTTCGACACTACTGACCACAACATTCTTTTGAATAGACTAGAAAAGTTTGTTGGCATTAATGGAAGTGCATTAGCATGGTTCAAATCGTACTTATCTGACCGCCATCAATTCGTAGCAGTGAATGAAGAGGTATCATATCGATCACAAGTGCAGTATGGAGTACCTCAAGGCTCAGTACTAGGGCCGTTACTCTTCACGCTTTACATGTTACCCTTGGGAGATATCATCAGGAAACACGGTGTTAGCTTTCACTGTTATGCTGATGATACTCAGCTCTATATTTCTTCGCAGCCCAGCGAAACATGCCAATTTGAAAAACTTGCGGAATGCATAGTCGATATAAAAAACTGGATGGCGAGTAATTTCTTACTGCTAAATTCTGAAAAAAAACAGAGGTGTTAATTATCAGACCTAAAACCTCCGCATGTAATAACCTAGAACACTGTGTAACACTTGATGTCTGCTCTGTCAATTCTTCGTCATCAGTTAGGAACCTTGGTGTGCTATTTGATTGCAATCTTTCCTTTGAAAGCCACGTTTCTAACATTTGTAAAACTGCATTTTTCCATCTCAAAAATATATCTAAATTACGACCTATGCTCTCAATGTCAAATGCAGAAATGTT